CGAAGGATTATATACCTGTGAGAATAATGAGGTCGGAATTAAAATATGTAACAAAACCGATAAGAAACTTTTGGTAGATATGAATGAATTATTATGTATTCAGGAAGTTAGTGAAATACACAACTTTAGAAAAGTTCCGGGTATTGAGGTTGATAAGGAAAATATTAGCCCACACTCTATAATGGACAAAATCAGAACCGAACATTTAAATCTAGAAGAAAAAAAGCAATTAAGGAAACTCCTTATTGATTTCCATGAAGTATTCCCAGATAATAAAAAGTTATCCTTTACTCATGAAATAAGGCATAGTATAATCACTGAAGACGAAATCCCAATAAGGAGCAAAATATACAGATATCCCTACATTCACAAGGAGGAGATACAAAGACAAATAACAGAAATGTTGCAAAACGGTATTATTGCACCGAGCATTAGCAAATTAGGGAAATCCAATTATTTTTCTATTATTGATCTTAAAAGTGGATTTCATCAAATAGAGGTTGAAAAGAAAGATGGACCTAAGACTGCATTTTCAGTCGACAATGAATTTAATAGAATGCCATTCGGATTGAAAAATGCACCGAGCACTTTTCAACGATTGGTTGATAACATTCTTAGAGAGAATGTATCGAAAAAAGAATGTATGGTGTACATGGATGACATTATAATTTTCTCGAATGGTTTAGAGGAACACGTTAAAAATTTGAAATCAGTATTGCTAAAATTGAGAAATGCAAGACTTAAAGTGCAATTAGAAAAATGTGAATTTCTAAGAAAAGAGGTAGAATTCCTTGGTCATATTGTAAATGAGAAAGGAGTTTTTCCTAACAAAAAGAAGGTTGAAATTATAAAAAACATACCAATTCCTAAAACAGAGAAAGATATAAAATCCTTTTTAGGAATGACCGGTTACTACCGGAGATTCATACAAAATTACGCTCATACAGCAAAACCAATGACACAATGTTTAAAAAAAGATTCCAGCACTAATATTACAAACCCAGATTATATTGCCGCATTTAATGAATTGAGAAAGAAGTTAACTGAAGCCCCCATACTTGTATATCCAGATTTTAATACACCATTTGAAATAACGACAGATGCTAGTAACGTAGCTATAGGAGGAGTTCTGTCTCAGAACGACAAGCCCATAGCATACATATCCAGAACACTAAACGAGCATGAAATTAATTATTCAACCATAGAGAAAGAATGCTTAGGAATTGTGTGGTGCCTTAAACAATTTAGACCTTATGTCTACGGAAGGAAGATTAAATTGTTTACAGATCACAAACCTCTTGTCTGGTTGAAAAATTTAAAAGAACCAAATTCTAAACTAATGAGATGGAGGATGCAAATAAGCGAGTATGATTACGAAATATATTACAAACAGGGCCACTTAAACAAAGTAGCCGACTGTTTAAGTCGAATAGAAATCTATAATATTGAAGAGCAGGAGTCAGAAAAACTAATAAATATTAGTAAAAGACCCATAAATTTCTTTAAGAACCAAATTATAATAGAACGAAGATGTTCAGGATCAACTTCTATAAAAACAATGAAAATTCACAACTCAAACCGCAAGATTATTAAAGCCAAAGACTTCGATAACGATTTTGTTAAAACAATTATTTCAAACCACTTTTATGAAGGTAAACACAACGTTATTTACTTGACAGATGAATTATTTGAGGTTTTCGAAAAAGTTCACCGAGAATTTTATAAAGAACTAAAAATAACCAGATGTTTAAATAAATTAATTGACGTGATAAACGAGGAAAATCTACATAATATAATATCGGCAGAACATTCAAGAAATAATCATAGAGGTATAGACGAAAATTTTGCGCAAATAAAAAGCACATACTACTATCCAAAATTAAAAGAAAAAATAACTGAATTCATAAATAATTGCGAGATTTGCAATTTAGCTAAATATGAAAGAAAGCCTCAGTCAATACCATACATGATTTCAGAAACTCCGAAAGTGCCCAACGAAATAATTCATATGGATGTATTTTACTCTATCAATAAATCCCTTTTTATCACAATGATAGATAAGTTCACGAAGATTGCCCTTATTACTAAAATAGAGAACAGATCAGACCCCGAATTCAGGAAGGCTATTTTGAAATACATCAGTACGTATGGACATATAAAAAAGATTATAACTGATAACGAACTGGGAATGAAATCAAAGGGAATGAATAAATTTTTGAAGGACAAAAATATTGAAATCCATTTTACATCAAGTTTAAATCATAATAGTAACAGTGATGTTGAAAGACTCCATAATACCATAAATGAACATCTAAGAATCCTAAAACATACTATGAGACATATTCCAATTGAAGAACAAATGATTCTAATTAATGGTTATTATAACGAAACTATACATAGCACTACCAATATGAAACCTATTGATTTTGTGAATGGTAAAATAAATGAGAAGGAATATAATGAAATACACGAAAAACTCGTAAAGAAGAAAGAACTTAAAATCACAAAATTAAATGAGAGTAGAACTAATGACATACCCATCGAGGACGGCATTAATTATATCAAGGAGACACGAGGAGGAAAAAATTATCTAAAATTTAGGAAGATAGTAGGAACTAAGGTTGACGATAATCATTTAAAAGACGAAAACTCCAATCATATATATTACAAAACACATGTAAAGAAAAGGAAACGATTTCAAAATCCTGATAGTATCGTATTTCCAACTCAGCAAACTTCTAGAAGAGGAAACGTATTAGATACTAATAATAATTAAATTTCGTATGATATATTATTAATTTTTCCCAAATAAATTCGGTTATATTTGTAGAAATGAAACTGACACTGGCCCTCATATTCCTATCCTACGCAACGGCGAAATTAGAAATTATTGATTTTGACAAAAATGAAGGCTATTTGCCCATCAAGGTTGGAGAAAAGAAGCTAATAGACCACTATATCAAGATTTTACATATCGTGAACATCACCGAATTAGTAGTAGCTAAACTTACAGTTGAGGAAAATGTTAATTTATTGTATAAAACATTGCCAAGTGACTCCATAAACGATAACATTTATAAAACATTGTCAAGGACCTTTTTCTTCTGGTTTTTCGTTTGGCTCGAGGTCAGAGCAAAGAATTGGACATCAAATTGAAATCTATATTACCTAAGAAAAGGGAAAAAAGAGGACTAATAAACATTATGGGAAGTACATTAAAAATTATTTCGGGAACAATGGACGAAGAAGATAGGCAACAAATAATGGAATCCTTAAGAACCTTGAATACGGACACTTCAAATTTAATTGACGAAAACAATAAACAAGTTAGGATCAATAAAGAACTACAATCTCAAATAGAAAACCTAAAGCAGAATATAGAATTCAACAGAGATATAAAAAGAATAATATAAACAATCTTATCCTCAATACTCAGATAAAAGACAACTTCCATTATATGAAAATCGTATTTCAGATTCATAATGATATAAATTCTTTATTACATTTCATTGATACCATAGAGGACGTCATTTTGACGAGCAGATTAGGCATATTAACAAGAAATATACTGACGGACAAGGAGAATGATTTAGTTAGGTCAACGGACGAGTTTAGAGAAATAAAAATAGCTTCCTTAATTTTTGAAAATGACATTATTTTGACGCTCTTAATACCACGTTTCAGTACTCACATTTTCGAAAACTATGTTTTGGAGCCATTGGTGAATGAAAAGAATGAAAGTTTATTTTTAACAAGTAATGAGATACTTTTAGATAATAAGAGAAACATCTATATGACATCCCCTAAGGATAACAAAGTTAAAAATCTTGTAGTTATTAATGATAAATGTATCGAAGATATCTTTAATTCAGCAATAATACAAAACTGTTTAAAAATTAAGAAAGAACCCGAAGAAATTATAAAAGAACTTGGATTTGGTCTTCTAACTGCAAAAAACTTAAAAAGAAAACAAATCATTCAAAATTGCAGTGATGACCCAATATTAATTGAAGGAACTAAAATTATTAAATTTGAAAACTGTTCAGTCAATCTCAACAATCAGTTATTTGTAAATCAAAATGAAATTGTCATTGATCATTATATAAGTCCCGGATACTTAAAACGAATCGAAAGTGACAATTATACCGAGGCATTAACTTTACATTTTATAAATATGAAAACTGTGGAGATCAGAAAAGAACTAGCAAAATCAAAACAAAAGATAACCAATAATAATGTACTATCGCACATATTAATGCTTATTGTATTAATTGGTTCCATTCTACTACTCGCAAAATATTTAATAAAGTATGTGATAATGAACAACAAAAATGTTCCGAGGACGGAAGCATTGACAAACGATGGGGGAGTTACAGTACCCACATCAACAGTACCCACTGTTACAATACCCACTGTGACAAATACTTTTTAAGAAACCCAAATCTGAAACAGTGTTGCAGATTCAAAATAAAGAAATTCCAATCTGCAACAATGTCACAGATCAAAACAGCCACCCAAGTTGAATACAAACAAAGAAACCTAAACCTGCAACAATGTTGCAGAACAAAGAACAAATATTATAATAAAACTAAAGACCAATCCAGAATGGTCAAAATGCAAGCTAAGCATTTTGACCATTGATATGAAATAAGTTCTAGCTATAAGTTAGTCTTAAGTCATTGTTCATGGAATAAAGTTCAAAACCGGAATCACTGCATTTTATTTTTTACAAATTATTACTGGCGCAGTCGGTAGCATCGGTATCAGTATCGGTATTAATTGATTCCGAAAACAAAATTGAACAAATACAATATACCGGATTCTAAAAAGTGAACGTGAAGTTTCGTTTTATAATGAATTCGGATAACGAAGTGACTCTTTAATAATGAATGTAAACGTGAAGTTTAATTAAAATTAAAAAAGGATCACATGAGAACAAAGAAAATATACCGGATTCTAAAAAAAGCAGATGTAAACGTGAAGTTTCATTTAGTATAGAATTCGGACAACGAAGTGATTTCCTAATGATTAATATAAACGTGAACTTAAGAACTCAAACAGAGCGATTCATATGATATCAATATAAACGTGAAGTTTATTTGACAAAGAATTGCATAAGAACTTACAAGCGATCGCTTTATCCAAACGGTATAATAGAAGCATCAACGCCATATCCCGCAATACAACCCCAAGAAAGATAACCACTCACCCAGACAACAATCAACACAGAAGCAGTGACAGAAATCTTGCCCCGAAGGAAGCGAAGAAAGAATCCATTGGGAGTAGGTTATATAGTTTTATTTAAATATAGTTATTATTTAAAGAGGGTAATAAACAAAGTTGTGTAATTTAGAAGAAATAATTGAACAAAAAAAAAAATAAAACCATGGCTCAAAATAGAGTAACAATCGACCCCATAAAATACTTATCCAAACTACCATCTTTTGATGGCAGCTTTAAAAATCTTCATACATTTATAGATCTTGTGGATAGAGTAACTTCAATATTGGACACATACGACGATGTATCCAAGAGCATATTTTTGGATATAATAAAGTCAAAGCTAGTTGGTCAAGCCAAAGACGTTAGTGACATTAATAATCATTTGACGTCGTGGACAACACTTAATACAGTGCTAACAAATAATTTTGGAGACAGATTATCAATAGAGCAACTTTACGATCAAATGCGGTCACTTAAGTTCAAAACGAACGCAAAAAACTTTTATGATGATATTACGTCTACTCTCAGTCGGCTCAATATGAAGAGTCGCATCCTATATCAAAATCAGGTAGGTTATGATGCTATCATAACCGCCAATAAAAGAACTGCATTAGACATATTTAAAAATAAGCTTATAGAACCAATGCGTTCCATAATCATCTGTCGGAATCCGGCAAATATCGAGGATGCTATGAAAATTCTATATGATACCAATTATGCCTTTTACAACCCAAACCCCGATAAAACATCAAATAAAAAGTTTAACAAAAATCAAGGAAAAAATTTTACTAATAACCATTATTCGAGCCCAGATCGATATAATCATACTAATAGTAGATATTATCAAAATGCAAACCAACATCGGAATGATAATAATGATCAACCTGTTGCAAACCAATCGGATAATGACAGACCAATTCCGATGGAGGTGGAAAATTTTCAACGGGACAGTTCAACAGACTGGTCCACATAATGATAGGAAAATGTAAATTCCTATTAGACACAGGTGCAACGAATTCCTTAGCCAACCCTAACGTTTTCCATTCAACAAGAATTGTAAAATTAAAAAACCCAATAACAATGAATGCATTGAACAACGAACACACAGTCACCAAAAAGGCGATTGTTAACGCTTTCAGTGAATTTGGACTTTCAGGTGAAACTTTTGAATTTTTTATATATAACTTTAACAATGAGTATGAAGGTCTAATAGGTAATGATATTTTACGAAAGTATAAAGCGGTCATAGATTTTGAAAGTAATTACATGATTTTAAATGAGAAAAGAATTCCGTTATGTTTTGAAGAACGAAGGAAGGTCGTATTGAATATATTTCCGGGGGAACACCTCTACAGAATTCCAACATGTTCTTATAACTCATATATTCTAATAAATAGTGTAATAAAAAATCCTAAGGATATAACAATCAACGAAGGATTATATACCTGTGAGAATAATGAGGTCGGAATTAAAATATGTAACAAAACCGATAAGAAACTTTTGGTAGATATGAATGAATTATTATGTATTCAGGAAGTTAGTGAAATACACAACTTTAGAAAAGTTCCGGGTATTGGGGTTGATAAGGAAAATATTAGCCCACACTCTATAATGGACAAAATCAGAACCGAACATTTAAATCTAGAAGAAAAAAAGCAATTAAGGAAACTCCTTATTGATTTCCATGAAGTATTCCCAGATAATAAAAAGTTATCCTTTACTCATGAAATAAGGCATAGTATAATCACTGAAGACGAAATCCCAATAAGGAGCAAAATATACAGATATCCCTACATTCACAAGGAGGAGATACAAAGACAAATAACAGAAATGTTGCAAAACGGTATTATTGCACCGAGCATTAGTCCTTACAACAGTCCTGTTTGGGTGGTACCTAAGAAACCAGACTCGTCTGGAATAAAAAAATATAGACTCGTAATTGATTATAGAAAATTAAACGATAAAACGGTGGATGACAATTACCCAATTCCGAATATAACTGATATTCTAGACAAATTAGGGAAATCCAATTATTTTTCTATTATTGATCTTAAAAGTGGATTTCATCAAATAGAGGTTGAAAAGAAAGATGGACCTAAGACTGCATTTTCATTCGACAATGAATTTAATAGAATGCCATTCGGATTGAAAAATGCACCGAGCACTTTTCAACGATTGGTTGATAACATTCTTAGAGAGAATGTATCGAAAAAAGAATGTATGGTGTACATGGATGACATTATAATTTTCTCGAATGGTTTAGAGGAACACATTAAAAATTTGAAATCAGTATTGCTAAAATTGAGAAATGCAAGACTTAAAGTGCAATTAGAAAAATGTGAATTTCTAAGAAAAGAGGTAGAATTCCTTGGTCATATTGTAAATGAGAAAGGAGTTTTTCCTAACAAAAAGAAGGTTGAAATTATAAAAAACATACCAATTCCTAAAACAGAGAAAGATATAAAATCCTTTTTAGGAATGACCGGTTACTACCGGAGATTCATACAAAATTACGCTCATACAGCAAAACCAATGACACAATGTTTAAAAAAAGATTCCAGCACTAATATTACAAACCCAGATTATATTGCCGCATTTAATGAATTGAGAAAGAAGTTAACTGAAGCCCCCATACTTGTATATCCAGATTTTAATACACCATTTGAAATAACGACAGATGCTAGTAACGTAGCTATAGGAGGAGTTCTGTCTCAGAACGACAAGCCCATAGCATACATATCCAGAACACTAAACGAGCATGAAATTAATTATTCAACCATAGAGAAAGAATGCTTAGGAATTGTGTGGTGCCTTAAACAATTTAGACCTTATGTCTACGGAAGGAAGATTAAATTGTTTACAGATCACAAACCTCTTGTCTGGTTGAAAAATTTAAAAGAACCAAATTCTAAACTAATGAGATGGAGGATGCAAATAAGCGAGTATGATTACGAAATATATTACAAACAGGGCCACTTAAACAAAGTAGCCGACTGTTTAAGTCGAATAGAAATCTATAATATTGAAGAGCAGGAGTCAGAAAAACTAATAAATATTAGTAAAAGACCCATAAATTTCTTAAGAACCAAATTATAATAGAACGAAGATGTTCAGGATCAACTTCTATAAAAACAATGAAAATTCACAACTCAAACCGCAAGATTATTAAAGCCAAAGACTTCGATAACGATTTTGTTAAAACAATTATTTCAAATCACTTTTATGAAGGTAAACACAACGTTATTTACTTGACAGATGAATTATTTGAGGTTTTCGAAAAAGTTCACCGAGAATTTTATAAAGAACTAAAAATAACCAGATGTTTAAATAAATTAATTGACGTGATAAACGAGGAAAATCTACATAATATAATATCGGCAGAACATTCAAGAAATAATCATAGAGGTATAGACGAAAATTTTGCGCAAATAAAAAGCACATACTACTATCCAAAATTAAAAGAAAAAATAACTGAATTCATAAATAATTGCGAGATTTGCAATTTAGCTAAATATGAAAGAAAGCCTCAGTCAATACCATACATGATTTCAGAAACTCCGAAAGTGCCCAACGAAATAATTCATATGGATGTATTTTACTCTATCAATAAATCCCTTTTTATCACAATGATAGATAAGTTCACGAAGATTGCCCTTATTACTAAAATAGAGAACAGATCAGACCCCGAATTCAGGAAGGCTATTTTGAAATACATCAGTACGTATGGACATATAAAAAAGATTATAACTGATAACGAACTGGGAATGAAATCAAAGGGAATGAATAAATTTTTGAAGGACAAAAATATTGAAATCCATTTTACATCAAGTTTAAATCATAATAGTAACAGTGATGTTGAAAGACTCCATAATACCATAAATGAACATCTAAGAATCCTAAAACATACTATGAGACATATTCCAATTGAAGAACAAATGATTCTAATTAATGGTTATTATAACGAAACTATACATAGCACTACCAATATGAAACCTATTGATTTTGTGAATGGTAAAATAAATGAGAAGGAATATAATGAAATACACGAAAAACTCGTAAAGAAGAAAGAACTTAAAATCACAAAATTAAATGAGAGTAGAACTAACGACATACCCATCGAGGACGGCATTAATTATATCAAGGAGACACGAGGAGGAAAAAATTATCTAAAATTTAGGAAGATAGTAGGAACTAAGGTTGACGATAATCATTTAAAAGACGAAAACTCCAATCATATATATTACAAAACACATGTAAAGAAAAGGAAACGATTTCAAAATCCTGATAGTATCGTATTTCCAACTCAGCAAACTTCTAGAAGAGGAAACGTATTAGATACTAATAATAATTAAATTTCGTATGATATATTATTAATTTTTCCCAAATAAATTCGGTTATATTTGTAGAAATGAAACTGACACTGGCCCTCATATTCCTATCCTACGCAACGGCGAAATTAGAAATTATTGATTTTGACAAAAATGAAGGCTATTTGCCCATCAAGGTTGGAGAAAAGAAGCTAATAGACCACTATATCAAGATTTTACATATCGTGAACATCACCGAATTAGTAGTAGCTAAACTTACAGTTGAGGAAAATGTTAATTTATTGTATAAAACATTGCCAAGTGACTCCATAAACGATAACATTTATAAAACATTGTCAAGGACCTTTAAAGAATTGGACATCAAATTGAAATCTATATTACCTAAGAAAAGGGAAAAAAGAGGACTAATAAACATTATGGGAAGTACATTAAAAATTATTTCGGGAACAATGGACGAAGAAGATAGGCAACAAATAATGGAATCCTTAAGAACCTTGAATACGGACACTTCAAATTTAATTGACGAAAACAATAAACAAGTTAGGATCAATAAAGAACTACAATCTCAAATAGAAAACCTAAAGCAGAATATAGAATTCAACAGAGATATAAAAAGAATAATATAAACAATCTTATCCTCAATACTCAGATAAAAGACAACTTCCATTATATGAAAATCGTATTTCAGATTCATAATGATATAAATTCTTTATTACATTTCATTGATACCATAGAGGACGTCATTTTGATGAGCAGATTAGGCATATTAACAAGAAATATACTGACGGACAAGGAGAATGATTTAGTTAGGTCAACGGACGAGTTTAGAGAAATAAAAATAGCTTCCTTAATTTTTGAAAATGACATTATTTTGACGCTCTTAATACCACGTTTCAGTACTCACATTTTCGAAAACTATGTTTTGGAGCCATTGGTGAATGAAAAGAATGAAAGTTTATTTTTAACAAGTAATGAGATACTTTTAGATAATAAGAGAAACATCTATATGACATCCCCTAAGGATAACAAAGTTAAAAATCTTGTAGTTATTAATGATAAATGTATCGAAGATATCTTTAATTCAGCAATAATACAAAACTGTTTAAAAATTAAGAAAGAACCCGAAGAAATTATAAAAGAACTTGGATTTGGTCTTCTAACTGCAAAAAACTTAAAAAGAAAACAAATCATTCAAAATTGCAGTGATGACCCAATATTAATTGAAGGAACTAAAATTATTAAATTTGAAAACTGTTCAGTCAATCTCAACAATCAGTTATTTGTAAATCAAAATGAAATTGTCATTGATCATTATATAAGTCCCGGATACTTAAAACGAATCGAAAGTGACAATTATACCGAGGCATTAACTTTACATTTTATAAATATGAAAACTGTGGAGATCAGAAAAGAACTAGCAAAATCAAAACAAAAGATAACCAATAATAATGTACTATCGCACATATTAATGCTTATTGTATTAATTGGTTCCATTCTACTACTCGCAAAATATTTAATAAAGTATGTGATAATGAACAACAAAAATGTTCCGAGGACGGAAGCATTGACAAACGATGGGGGAGTTACAGTACCCACATCTACAGTACCCACTGTTACAATACCCACTGTGACAAATACTTTTTAAGAAACCCAAATCTGAAACAGTGTTGCAGATTCAAAATAAAGAAATTCCAATCTGCAACAATGTCACAGATCAAAACAGCCACCCAAGTTGAATACAAACAAAGAAACCTAAACCTGCAACAATGTTGCAGAACAAAGAACAAATATTATAATAAAACTAAAGACCAATCCAGAATGGTCAAAATGCAAGCTAAGCATTTTGACCATTGATATGAAATAAGTTCTAGCTATAAGTTAGTCTTAAGTCATTGTTCATGGAATAAAGTTCAAAACCGGAATCACTGCATTTTATTTTTTACAAATTATTACTTCTATTCCCAACAAAATAACTTCTATGACAAAAAACATTTTTTTACCCAAGTGACAAGATCGTAAGCTCAATAGAAGAGGAACCAAAGAATTAAATAAAACTAAAATTCTTTTGGAAAGTCTTCTAAATCTTACAACCGCACTTATAAACATTTACATCTTTCTCCACTTGTTATGCTTTCGTTCAACCTGAACGAAGTAGCATAACCATGTAAGTTGGTTTTGTCTGTTAAAACAAATACCCCTTCGTCGACCGTGCCTTGTCTATTAATAGAACAGTGTTGGCTTGTTTGTTCGGGATACCGTAGTATTTTGTTGTTGCAAAATGGTCAGACTTTATCCCTTTATTGTTGTTTTTATAAAAACAACGTTTGTTTATTAGTGAAGAACGATGGTAATGTTTACCAGGGGGTAAGGCACGGTCGACGAAGGGGTTTTTGTTTTAACAGACAAAACCAACTTACATGGTTATGCTACCCGAAGCAACCACATCTTTGTAAAAGCCAGCGGCTGCAAAATCGTTACATATATGTTCATGTTTATTTATTCGTCCGCCTTATTCCGGGATGCTTGTTCCGAATTATTTTTGTCCGTGTCAGGATTGAAGAATCTCCACACCATGGTCCTGTTCAGTTCATCAAAACATTATACGGCACAGTTCGATAATGGGTGCTTCTTAGATATTGTTCCAGACTAACTCGGTTGCGAGACTATATAGAGAATTCTCTGTCGGGGGGTAAAGTGCTGACAAAGAACCCCTTGTGTACAAAGAACCCCTTGTGACCATTCCGTTGAAAACTATGGCTAAAAACATAAAAATACCGAATATCGGGGGTACCGTTATATGAGGGCTATACGATATCGTGGACATATATAAACAATTCTCTCTCAGGGGGTGAAGTACTCACAAGGAACTACTTGTGTGGATTTTATGACAATTCCATTGAAAAGTGTGGCTAACATCATCAAAATACGGAATATCGGGGGGTACAGTTATATGGGGGATATACGATATCGTGGACATATATAGACAATTCTTTTTGAGGGGGTAAAATGCCCAAAACGGACTCCTTTTGTGGAATTTCAGACAATTCCATTGAAAAATGTGGCTAAAATCATCAAAATACCGAATACCGTGGGGGTACCGTTATATGTGGGCTATACGATATTGCGCCTATATAGATAATTCTCTGCCGAGGTATAAAGTACCCACAAGGAACTACTTGTGTGGATTTTAAGACCATTCCATTGAAAATGTGGATAACATCATCAAAACACCAAATATCGGGGGCTACAGTTATATGGGGGGTATACGATATCGTGGACATATATAGACAATTCTTTTTGAGGGGGTAAAATGCCCACAAGGGACTCCTTTTGTGGAATTTCAGACAATTCCATTGAAAAATGTGGCTAAAATCATCAAAATACCGAATACCGTGGGGGTACCGTTATATGTGGGCTATACGATATTGTAAACCTATATAGATAAATCACTGCCGAGGTATAAAGTACCCACAATGAACTCCTTGTGTGGATTTTTAGACAATTCCATTGAAAAATGTGGCTAACATAATCAAAATACCGAATATCGGGGGGTACAGTTATATGGGGGATATACGATATCGTGGGCCTAAATAGACAATTCTTTTTGAGGGGGTAAAATGTCCACCAGGGACTCCTTTTGTGGAATTTCAGACAATTCCATTGAAAAATGTGGCTAAAATCATCAAAATACCGAATACCGTGGGGGTACCGTTATATGGGGGCTATACGATATTGTGGACCTATATAGATAATTCTCTGTCGAGGTATAAAGTACCCACAAGGAACTACTTGTGTGGATTTGCAGACAATTCCATTGAAAAATGTGGCTAACATCATCAAAATACCGAATATCGGGGATAGCGTTATATGGGGGCTATATGATATCGTGGACCGATATAGCTCATCTTCGAACTTGACCTGCCTGCAGACGACCGTGCCTTGTCTATTAATAGAACAGTGTTGGCTTGTTTGTTCGGGATACCGTAGTATTTTGTTGTTGCAAAATGGTCAGACTTTATCCCTTTATTGTTGTTTTTATAAAAACAACGTTTGTTTATTAGTGAAGAACGATGGTAATGTTTACCAGGGGGTAAGGCACGGTCGACGAAGGGGTTTTTGTTTTAACAGACAAAACCAACTTACATGGTTATACTACCCGAAGCAACCACATCTTTGTAAAAGCCAGCGGCTGCAAAATCGTTACATATATGTTCATGGTTGTTTATTTGTCCGCCTTATTCCGGGATGCTTGTTCCGAATTATTTTTGTCCGTGTCAGGATTGAAGAATCCCCACACCATGGTCCTGTTCAGTTCATCAAAACAGTATACGGCACAGTTCGATAATGGGTGCTTCTTAGATATTGTTCCAGACTAACTCGGTTGCGAGACTACAGCGAAGCGTTGCATCGTTCTGAAACGACATAGATCTTTGCGTGTCCGCGTCTTCGTCGTCGACGTAGTATGGAACTCCATCACAGTCTCTCAACCCCTGCCACAATATCTTACGCAATCGCTAAAGTCTCCAGGGTAAAATTGATGAGATAGTTGAATTTATGAATCGGAGGAACATTGTAGAAAAACAAGCTCAATAAAAATAGCGGCCTACGTTGTTATTGTCACAATGTTTTGAGGAAAGATCGCAGCCGAAGTCGAGTTGGGGGATTAGCCTTTATGTTACACAATGCTTCTATCATTTTCGCCTGAGCTAGTCTCCAGTGACCCGTATATGAAATGAATGAAGATAGCAGTCAAGTGCGGAACTTCCGAAGTAGAGGTGCTTAATTTGTATATCCTGCCGATAATAGCTATGAACCGCGTTATTTGCCATATGTTATCCATGCCCACCCTAATATAGAGCAAATTGATTGCTTCACATTCTGCAGGATGATGCGAGGATGACCTCTTGGGATAGACTTTCCCGATAATGGTCTCTACAAACATAACCTCTGAATGCCGAACTTTTCTTACTGACGAGAATTTAGAGAGTTCACCAACTTTGGTTCAGAGAACTGCCCAGCCAGAAATTGTTTTCTTCTCAAAAAAATTTTAATACTATTGCAAATATAAGCATACTAGCTTATCCAGCCGCATTGCCGGCCCGTACTGTAAGTCTTTAATGCATATATTTTAAAGCACAATTTTTGTTATGAGTAATAACTCCATAGTAATTTTTAAATATAAATAAATATTCATGTAAACAAATATAATAGATGTTCACCTACCGTTGGTTTTAGATACTTTGAATAGCCTCATCTTATTTTTCAGCCATAGGCTTTAATTTGAATGTTATAAACCTATATGATATAGAACATCTATAATAGCCCCATGTGAAAATTTGTCGTATTGTGAAGAGCTTAGAAACGTTTTCTATTCAAATGAGGTATAATTTGGAATTTGTATTTCCAACGTTTAGAATACCGTGCTGCGTGGCATATAGTTTTGTCCACCTCATAATTGAGGGCAGAATGATTTCAGAATAGTCCAATATATTTATTCTTTTACACCCATTACCGTAAAATGGGAATTAAGTTTTTTTTGTCATTTACATTGTGCATTGGAGACCCCATAAAGTTCATATTTTTCATCATAGTATAATTCAATGGCGATGAAACAAATATTGGGTCCCGTGCTACTTTCTAATATTCGCCATTTTTTCATGTTTCTGCCACAATTTCCGACTGAATGAGTCCCAGTTTTACATTTCGGAGTTTATTTCATATAGACGTACATCCCACATCTACGTTCCCAACCAATATTCTCTTGGGGGTTACAAATTTAATAGAATAAAAAATGTTCTTTTCTGAGCACACATTTGGTTGTAAAAGGGTACTACACTAATGTAGGTACTATACTATATAAAATAAATGCCTATTATCTGTAAGATGGTTCTCTATCACAGGCTAGCCTAAGTAATTTTATTAGCCAAATCAATTGACGAATGTGGTGAAGACGAAGATGGGTCCTACTCCGAAAATTGAAAACTTTATGCGAAGAGGTTTTCTACACTCTTAGAAACAAAGATGCCAAATAATAGCCAAAAAGAATTTTAAAGTGTTGTAACCTTATCCGCGAGTTATGACCCATATCATGACCTGCAAAAACGATTTAAGGTATCTTCAATGTTTGAGAAAAATTTCTGGAAGGATATAAATCCTTTTCTTGCTAAATGTCCAAATCGTTCTTCTATTTTGCAACCCTTATATTCGGTATTTTACTGATGGCAGTCCTAAAGTCTTTTGTATTATGAGCTCTCACGGATTATTGTCAAACGAAAAAAGTAAGTCCACGTTTTGAAATGAGCCCCATTAGGCTTTGTCGGTCATTTTTGTTTGTTTAAATTTGTTCGTATCTTCCAGCTGAAGCACGATCTAGGTACTGGAGATCGTTACTGATGACTTTTCATGTCTTAAATTTACATCTAGCGTTCAATTCCAGGGCCTACACCGTGTTTCACCTGGAAGATGGGAACATATTTAATTTTTTTGTTACAATTACAATTTTTTTCTTTCATGTCCTTTCATTGTCAAATTTATATTTTGTTGTTGTACCTGAAATATGTGCGTACGCTGGCAAGAGTTTTTTTTTATTAATTTCAGACCAAATATTTTGTTATTTTCACGTCTTTTAGAGGGTATAAGTCAAGTAAGAATATAATCTAAATCAGAAAAGAAAAAATATTAATTTGATGAGTCGCGCAAGTCTTCATTATGGCATGGTCGAATGGTTTTCGTGTACGGCAACGGTTTTCAAGTAAAAATTTTAAAAGTAGTACTATATAGCAGGGTTTCTTCTTTGATAGTAGGTATACAAGTTGTGAAAATGACAAAATATTTGGTCGGAAATAACTGTAAGTTTCTTGTACGTCCACA